TTTTTTAAAAGTAGAGGCAGAACCTGTAGGCAATCACTGTAGACTACCTAATACTGTTTAAAAGTTAGACAGTTCTTATCAGCTCTAATTCTATGCCTTTAACACACTATAATATTTTATAGTAAAAATACTCTTGAGGATGGTATTGCCTTATGCATTGACTGGAAATGGGTAATACCCTAGGATACATAAATAAATATCTTGACTGGTTTCTGAATTTTGGGTGGGCTGTCATGAGGCTGGTCACCAGCATGAGCACATAACTGGTTCATTCCTCTCTGATCTTTGCTCAGACTGTCGCTTCAGCCCGAGTATGCTGAATTGCAAGTCTTCTAACTTCAAGAGCCCATTTTTAGTCCATCTTGATAAACTCTTCCATAAAAATTCCGTTGCTGATAAAGAGGATCAAATTTCTAAACTATAGCAGTTCAGGTACAGAAAAAAGGACACAGAAAACTATTTCTTACATCATAGTTAAATAAACATAAAGCATGTTGAAATACTCATAGAAAAAAATGAAGAAAAGATGAAAAACTAGTACTTGTGTCTGATTTATATTCAAGATACCATGCCCTTGTGTTTTAATTGTTCTTCATTGATTCCAATTCCACTGCAAGTTTCAAAGATAATATCAGAATCCTTGATAAATGGAAGAATGTTTCAAGAATTCTTTAGTAACTACCACAAATTATTATTATTTAGTGATTAAAACTTGTAGTCACTAAATAATTAACTATTGAATTAAATGTGATATAGTTTTAATTTGATAATCAGGATTTCATAGTATTTCCAAATATAATGGAAAAAAATCTAGTCCCTTCCTAGTTTTCTTATATTTATAATCTTCTTAAAACACCAATAATCCTTTCGATACTGAGTAGTCACGAATGATTATGGTTTAATATATCTCTGCATTATCTTATTTATGTCTTTGTACCTCAATCTTAGGTTTAAAGAAGAAAAGTAAATCTTTTTCTCTTTGTACCATTTGAGTAAACTGTTTCAAATTGGAGAAAAAATGAAAAAATAATGTTCAAAGGCCAAATAATTTGAAAAAGGAAGACAACTCTTCAGTTGTGGTTCCTTTGTAAGTATTGTCTTTAAAGTCCTGGGTTATGCCTTGATCAAATCAATGAAGTCACTCAAACCCTTTCTGTTTAAGTATATAAAACATTTAGAAAAGAATAAAGTTGAACAAAACCATAAAATAATTCCTGTTAGTATATTCATATATAGACATTAACCTAAGAGACTTGCAAGTCTATTACCTTATATTACTTATACATTTTTAGATTTTGATGAGAATAAATATGATTAAGCATGCACTTGCTTACCAGTGCTTCATGTCAGAAAGCACTTAAATACTGAGTCATTATTTTTTTAACATAACGTTTCTCAATTTATAAAACATGTCTATTGACAGATAAGACACAGAAAAATCCAAGTGACATCTGCTAAGCTTTACTTATAAAAACTTAAAGAAATCCTAAGGGATAGCATCACTCAATTTTTCCTGCAGTACTTCTCATGGAGACTTCCTAAAAAAAAATCTGGAAATAATTAGAAACTATTATAGTACCTAAGAAGGGTTACTTAAAAACTAAATCTGCTATTCATCAAAGAACACTGTACACTCAGAATAATGTATTGAAAAAATAAGGACACAGAGATAATACCGTAAGGCCCTGCCACCACATCTAATTGTAAAACATACAAAATGCTTTGACAGAGACCCGATCCTAGGCATCGGGTCTGTGATGTACTGCAGAACCGTAGAAAACATCATAACCTGACTGATCCAGCATTGATTTTGCCAAACACAATGCATGTTAATTATTTTACTTCAATTCTTTTCACTTAAAATGACAGAAAACCATTTTTCTTTTAAAGATACTACTAAATATAATTTTAATACAAATTAAAAGTGAAGAAGGACAAATATTAAATTCATAAAATTTATTTGTGTCAAAGATCTACCCAGAAAAAAAATGATCAAGAACAGGGTAAAACAATGTTTGGGGTATTTGTGGAACAACAAACGCATCATAATGATAACTTTAACAGCTTCTTAAAATTTAAAATATGTTTTCCATGGAGATGTAAAATTCCACTGGAGGGTAGACTGGATGGCATATCCCTTGGAGTTTAAAAGTCCGCCATATGAACTGAATTATCCTTGACAAGTACCTTCAGACACTTGTAATATGATCTCATGTAAATTTAGACCATATTTTGGTCTAACTATCAGCAATAGTAAGTTTATTCAGGAGCTCAGCTAAGAAAGAAAGAAAAGATTATATCCTGAACGATATGTAGTAGTTAACAAGAAACTTCGAAAATGAAAACAAAAGCACAAAAATAAAAGCATCTAATGTGTTGTAGCAAAGAAAAACAAAATTCTGCCAAAAATGTTGCATTTTTCCTTTCTCTTTGAAATCCTCACCTGCCTATTCTCTCAAAGAAAAAAATGCAAATTTTATCTTTCAATGTTTTATCCACATTTAAGGAAGAAAACCATATTTATGCAAATAAATACACTGAAAAATTCCATTTGCATTGAAAACTTATTTAATCCAAATTAAATTATAGTATAAATAATATCTTTGCTGTATTCTCACTGTGGAAAAATATAAATGGTGTATTCTGATTATTAATGATCCATAACATAAGCAGATATTTAGAATTTACACTGACATATGCAATTTAGACATTAAAAAGGGGGAAAGCAGTAAGGTATCATGAAGACATAAGGCTTCAAGACAGATACTTGTTCAGACTTTCAACTATTTTGACTAGCATGAATACTGCTCATCATAATAACATGAAACTATCAATACTTACACGAGGTTGTGTTTAAAATAAAACAAAATGTACTCAGAGCTCTGCACCTTTAAAGATTCATCAGGATTACCTTTAGCTTTGGCAAAAAGCCCACAGAACTGTGCTAATTCTATGGGGAGCAGCTCCATTGCAGATGAGATGCATTAAGGCCTGAAGAAGAGAACCCTGCTTTGGAGAGAGCAACCTCAACCACATCATTAACTGTATTTATTTCCCTTTATCAGAGGTCTGCTACTGCTATGCTGCCCTGCTAATGGGTGAAAACAGCATATAAATCATTTTGAATTTCTGTAGCACAGAAAAGTGGCAGATTATTTTAAGAAACTTTGAAGACATGTCCATTTATTGGTGTGTGTGTGTGTGTGTGTGTCCTTGAAACCAAGGACTCAGTTTTAAACATCCATGGAACAATTAATCCACACAGATAGTTTATAAGCTTAATTTCACAGTGTAATAGTAAACTCACTCCATCTGAAGGTAGACTGCTCATTTGCTTCCTTAAAAATATTTGGTGGAAAGCAATACTTTAGGGTTTAACTGAAAGTAAAATAATTGAGAGCTATTTTTTAAAATAAGCATATATTTTAAAGTCCTTTAGATGAGGTGAATTTAACCAAGTAACCACTTAAAATATTTAAAGACACTGAGTTATTTTAAAAATTCAACTTAAAAATCAAACTGAGAGACATGTTTACAACACTGCTTTGCTGAAACACTGAAAGAAAGTGCACTGCACAGACAGCTTGAATTTCTCACTCTTCTTCTCAATCAATATTTGAGGCAAAGTTTCATCTCTAGGGCCCTTAATGGCAGGAATTCCTGGAGCCAGCAAATGAGTAATGTTAAACCTATGATTAGATGATGAGGCCATCAAAGACACTAGATCCTAATGCTGCATTCCTCTTTATTTCTCTGAACTGCAGTGAAATGTGGGGCTGAGGAAGAAGGAATTCTATGCTATTTTTTTCCATAGAAGCATTTTGAAACTGTTCATCATCAAGAACCTAAAAGGTCCAGATAGATCCTTAGACAGGCTCTTGAACTCAGGACTTCAGTATTAAATAACAAAATTTTAAAATGCCCTGCAGATGAAATCCTCCTAGGGATGTTATTTTCTTTAACGTCTTCTTTATCAATATCGTTCCTGCCTAAAAGAGGGAAAATGGACCTAATAATTTCCCTATGAATATATTCATGAAGAAGTTAACCTGAAAACTGAAAATCAATTGGTAAGTTTTTTCATGTTTTGTTTGTTTTTGCTGATGTTTTAGGATCAATTGAAGTCATACTGTTGTTTATTGCAAGTTAGCTGTGGTTTCATCGGCAGACCTTAATGCCAGTAATCCGAAATACCTTAGATATATTTTTCCTTCTATTGAGAAAAACAGGGATAAATGTAATAACCACTCATTACAAAAACCATGTAATCTCATTTTTCATTCTGATATTACAAAATAATACTTATGAGGATCACTAGGAGGATTGTCAGAGGTGGTGAGAAGCAAGACCGTTAGATTCCTATTATTAATTATTTTAGTTAAAAATAAGCCATACATGTTTATTTTTAGTTTCCTATAATTGGCAGGAAACAATAATCAACAATTACAATTTTTTAAAAATTCTGATGATTAAAAAGAGATCAATAGCCTAAGCAGATTTTTAGAATTTACGTGGACATATACAAATTACGCATAAAAAGGAAAGCCGTAAGGTATCATGTTAAAGTACATGAGAAGGAGTTGTAGCGTGTACTTTGGATGCTGAGTGAAAAAAACTTAGTTTCATTACCTCTATGTAATAGAGAATGAACAATGTAATTGAAAATACACTTTAAAATTATCAATTATGCTGTATAATTTTTAAAAGGTAGGAGATAAAGAAGGGTATAAAAAGACCAATAACAAATTATATGCATATATATAAATTATATATATTTGCAAAGAAGACAGAAACAACTCAAGGATAGGGAGAGTGGGAGAGAACAAAACTGTTAAAAAGAGCAGAAGGAAAAGGGAGAAAAAGTCAACACCCCACTGACTAAGCTCAACAGAAATTATTTTCTTCGTCTATGGCATAAGAGATGTAAGTTTTAAAAAATATATAAGCATACACACAAAACTGCATCTATTTAACATAATCAAGTGAATAAGATTCTGTACCTGAGAACAAAGCAGCATGACAAGCTCAACCACTGATGTGCTGGACTTCATACAAACAAGGCCTACAACAAAGAAAGGTTAAAAGATAAAGAAATTACAATGTTGGAAATCATCCTTCCAAGTTATCCATTACATAATTTTAATTTATAAAAATCTTTCTTTAAAATGGAATTCCCAAAATAAAATGAATAAAAATGTTCACCTTAAATACATTTTTATGACATTAATTTTAGAATATTTAGATATTCAAGATAATATGAAAAGTATTCAAGAACTGACTTCACAATTAGACTATTTGCTCAAAGCACATCTTAAATTTAAAGAAGGTGGGTAGTAAGGTTATTGACACTGATGAGGTGAGGACAGCTGTTTTATTTCTAACAACATATGTGTTTTTCTCCTGGAGTGAAGAACAATAATCATTGAAGATTCACCTACATTTTGTTCCAAAAGACATGATTAAAATAATAAAAAACAGATAATTCCCTATAACTTATCAATTATCAAGTGATTTTTTAAAATAATGAAAAATCAATTTCATATATGATTAATACATTCAGTAATGTCTATAAAATCTTCAATTGTTGTGCTTCCAAACTCTCAGAATAGATAACTGAAGAAAAAAGAACAGAATGTAATAATGTGGGTAGAATAATGGCTGCTGCTCTTGGATCACTTGGTATGGGCTAGACATCACCATAAGTGCCTTTTGGGCATGGTCTCATTTAATTCTCATTATAATCTGTGACACAGTATTATTATTCCCATTTTACAGGTAAGAAAATAGCCTTCCTATAAACAGTTTAAACAAGAGTCACTCACCAAGACTTTTTCCAATTAAAAGGATAGCTGCTGTATAACACAATGTATATAAATAAGATAGCTGATCTCAGTTGGTAGTTTTCTGAAGTGCTAACACAGATAAAGATGTAACCAAGGATTAATAACAGCTCCTGGATGAGTGTACATTAATTTATGATGTAATTTAAAAAATATTTTTAGAAGTTTTTCACTGTTTTTAAAACTAAAAAAATAACAAATATGCTGTTTCTTTTTGGAGGGCAAATGTACTTAGCAAAACCATCATATAATAAGAAATGACACAGTGTTACATTAGTTGTTGCTTATAGGGAAAGTTAAAATAAAGCCAGTTATTTCTTTTTCCTTAAAATGATTTCAATAAACAATCTCAAATGCCTTCTATACATTAACTTGTATCTTTATTGTAGGGAGTGGATAAATATCCTTTTGTGCCCACTTTGCTAAGGACACTACCCTTATTGTACAGACAGAACAAGCTTTAAAAAGGCACTAGTAGTCCATCTTATCAAATCTGTGGGCAGACAGTTAACTAATGAAATAAGAGGCAGATGTGAAAAGCTCATTTAAGAGACAATTGGTATAACTGATCAGCAATTCTCATGCTCAGGAGCTAGAGAGTCAGAAAGATTAATGGGGCATTTATCACCTGTTGGCTACTGGACTATTCGAAATCTAACAAAGAAAAACTAATCAAAAGGTGAAAGGATCATAATTAAGATATGTACTTATAACAATTTAGATAATAAGGCTTTGATATAAGAAGTATTCTTTATATACCATATAGTTTGTGTATTAGTTCTTTAATACACAACAAATTGAAGTAAAAATTAGGAAAAACATGAAATTACTATCTCATGAACTAATTCTTAAATTAAATCGTAAAAAAATCCTTATGTAACAAGAATATTTATAATGTCTGCAAATACTGTCATTCTACCATAAGAAAATATAAACAAATGCTTCAATAACGCTTTGTTCAAAAGGAATGAGAACAAATTCATAGAATGGCAAAACTCAATTTGCAAACAGTACTCTCAGTACTTTGTAAAAGGCCATTGTGATTTCAAAGCCATAGAACCTCATACCTTTACTAATGTGTTTATTTAATTCATTTTGTACAGAACGAACAAATGGCTCTCAGCCAAAGAAAAGAAGAAACAAGAAAACAACATTGACAGTAGGAACATAGGCAGAGGCAAATTTAAAATATTAATCTACTTTCAAAAATAATCACTAATCACTATGGCTGGAACTTTAAGTGTTAAGAACAGTTTTCTAAAAATGTAAACTCCAATGGTTTACTGAAGATATTGAAAATACGAGTGTTTTCTGACACTATAAATAACTCATAAGCTGTATATATGTAAGGCAAATATTTTATAAGTATCTCAAAAAGGTTGATTTAATCCTTTTCTCTACCTAGCAAGAAATTCATAATCAAATCAGTTCATTTCATGATTCTTCTTATGAGCAAATTACAGAGTTAGCACTAAGGAGTTTACAATAATAAATAAGACATTATTATCTACAGATCTACACATTTGTTACTGCCCCATATTTTACTTCAAATCCAAGATTATCTAAAATTTATAGAGCTTTATAATTTACAAATAACTTTATATGTGTTGTCTTATGGTCTCTTAACAACTCTTTGAACTAGTTATTATTACATCTTGACAGACAAAAAATGAAGACATTTCAGTCCAATTTGTGCAACTTAGTAAACAGCAGAATCGGGACCTGAGTTCAAGTCATGATTCAGCATTAACAGAACGCTAACATATGATATAGGAAAGGTCATGATGGTGAATTCCAACTTGAATGATCTTGACAGTTTTCTTGTTGGTCAGACATGGGGACAAAAAGCAGTAACTTATGCACAAAGTACAGAGGAAGTAGAAAACAAAAACAAAAATCTGAAAAGGTTTTTGTAAGTTGATGGGTTGGGGATGGATGACTAGAGTATGGAAGGTTTTTGAAAGTGGAAGTGGAGGGGCGAGGTAAAATTCAAATATAGATAAAGACTGGGGAATTAAAATCATTAATGGGTTTGAAAGCTAAAAACAAAAACTGGGGGCAAGTTATACAATGGGGGAAATGATACTGAGGCCTGGAGAAGGCCAACCCATTCTACAATGGAAATATGTGCCTTGCCAATTTAGAAGTTGCTCCCCAAACACTTGTACATATGTGTCTCCTCAACAAAAGTCTAGTTAAGAATATGGGTCAATTAACAGTATTTTCACCAGAAAATATAAATCAACCAGAGTAAACATTCTGAACAGTACGATACTGTTTTAATACTACAAACGACTCTTGCTTAGTAATATATAATGAAACCCCTGGAATGTAGAAAATAAACTCGTGACAGGCTGTGAGGAAGGAGCTTTGCACACATGCCAGGCACCCTAATAGCGAGGAAAACTGTCCAGTAAGAGCTTTTGAATATATGATGAACTATAGTGTTGAAAGGTGAAACAGTTGACTGAGCAGCTAACATCCTAGCACTTGAGAAGATTAATCAATCAGGTGGATAAATTTGAAGTGGTCCCAATCCATGTAGGAAACAAAACAGATATGGCTGAATACAGCATTATCCAAAATCCTGATTTGAGTTCGCACTTACTGGAGGTAGGAAGTCCGTTTCTCCTTTCAGAACATACCATCCTCACTTAAAAACAAAACAAAACAAAACACGACACAGAACTGCAACAAAGAATAAATCAGATTAAGAAACCACCTAAATGAATGTCAAGTTAGAAGGATGGCTTTTGGGACAAAGCTGTCCTTCTTTAATACAAGAGCTACTGAAAGGCACAGAGATGCTGTTTCTTTTTTTGTTTGTTATTTTCGTGTTTGATTTTTTTTTTTTTTAATTTTGAGACAGTTTTCCTCGGTCACCTGTTGGGACCTAAGGCGACACCACTGAGAGACCACCATGCACACATGGAAATACCAAGGAGTGTTTTTATTTTGGGGGGCGTATGCTTGGGTCACTTCCACTAACAGCATGGTTGCAAGAGAGTGGCCACGAAACAATGGCTAGGGAAGTTTTTATACATTTCTTTGAGAGGTATTATGGGTTGCAATAAAATGCTAGGGAAGGTAGCTGGGAGAGAAGTCTGTATGTGGTCATCTATTAGTCATTGGGGAGGCCTGGGGACTCTGACAGGTCGACTGTCCTTCCGTGGTCAGGGTCTCCACTGGGGTTAGTAATGTGTGAAATCTCTGATTGGTTGTTCCCACTTGAGCTGTTTACCTGGTTCTCGGCTTGTGCCTGCTGTGGAATTTCTTGTGGTCCTCGCCCTCCTCCCTCCTTCCCTTCCTCAGTTCTTTGTTCCCTTTTCTCAGGATAAAGTTTATCTACAAAATGGTGTCACTGTGGTCTCTTCACACCCAGGCATCATCATAGCTCACAGCAACCTCAAACTACTGGGCTCAAGTGATCCTCCTGCCTCAGCTTCCCAAGAAGGTGGGATTACAGCTGTCCACCACAACACGTGGTTAATTTTTCTATTTTTTGTAGAAGTGAAGTCTTGCTCTTGCTTAGGATAATCTTGAACTCCCAACCCCAAGGGATCCTCCCTCCCTCAGCTTCCTAAAGTACTAGGATTACAGGTGTGAACCACTATGCCCATTCATGAGTCCAATTCATTGAAAAAGCATTTACAGAGCTTGGTATCTAATGTGCCAGACACCATGGTAGATAATAAGCCTTAAAAGAAGTGAGAAAAGTGAGACAGATTATGTAAAAAATTAATATGCTAGAGAACTCTAGGTGTTCACACAAACGTTAAGTGTGAGAGCACCATGGAAAGGACAGTAAGCAACTGTGCCTGGGAGAAGCAGTCACCAACAATGAGATATTTGTTAGATGATGCTGAGCCCATGAAGGCAAAAAAGGGAAGGAAGGGAAGGGAATTCCAGGCACCAGAGAACTGTTGAAGGCCTAAAGAAGCATGTTACAGTCAGGGAAATGGAGTTGGAGTAATTGTTCTGTGGAGTGTGAAGAATGGAAGGAAGCGACTGGGAATGAAGAACGACAGGCGACCAGAAAGTAGAGCCATCAGTGGCATATTCTACCACCCACTGGAGTGTTGGGGTCCCTTATCAGGGCCTGGGATGGTTGGTCTCTGGCCCTGGTTTATCTACGTTCCAGACAAGGATGGCTAAGTACCTTACTCAGGAACGATTACTCTTAGGTGCCTGGGGCTATTTACTCTGGGGTGGGAGTGGGGGG